ACTGGAATAAACTGTGAGAAGTTCATCAAAGAAAAAATTGTGTAATTAGGAATTTTTGGATTTTATGCAGTAGTGGAGATCTAAGGTTTGAAATGACGAGCTGCATAGGAAAATGTCTTGGCAAAAAAGAGATAAAGAATTAAAAATCATGCGTTCGGCGTTAATCAATTTCTAAGTAAGACACGATGCATTTGACTTCATTGAGCATCGTTAGAGGTGATTGAATGCATATCTGGCCTTGACGTTGAATCGTGGTGCGCTGCCGATGTATCTAGTCAGTGTTGCTATCCTCCTAGATAGGGGTGGATACCAATTTGCCGACCCCGGAAGGGTAGAAGGCTTGGTTAACCCGCAGCGACAAATCGGCCCAAGGACGACGAGTGTATCTCAAGGCATTTCTGGTCGCTGCGCTGCAGCAAGATGAACTAAAAAACAAAGCTTGCAATTTGAGGCTCTCCATAAAAGTTATTTATTTCTAGCCATACAAGTGAGTGTATGGTAAATTTCCAGGCCCCAATGTTTTGAATGTCGTGAAGTTTTTCCTATAATCATAAAATTTTTTCTTTCTCTTTTTTTAATTCTAGTAATTCCCTTTCTAGCTAAAAGTTTTCCAGTATCCTGTCATGACAATAATTAATCGACTTATTCGAATGCTGAAATCCGTTGTTTAACAGAAGGATCCAGTCCAGCCATAGATAACTTTTGCTATGTGTTCAATAGCAGTGAAGTACTAGTGAAGCAGAATACACCAAGCCAATCCTATTAGGAATATAAAAGTACAGTAAGGATGAAGAAACGACAATCGTCTTTTTTCAAATCCCAGCTGAAGCAAACTGTAGAGAGAGTTCAGCAACATCTCTGAATATTTTCAAGCTTCTCGTTCCGACTCCACGATTTCTACGAGGCAGGATAAGTCCATCTATTTCTACATGAATATGAGATGAGAGTCATGTCAAACATTTGTTCAGCTCTGTCATATGCACTTTTCGGTTAGTGTTTCTCACTTGAAAATTTGCTTATTAACTAGGTTTTTGCCCTCCAGCGAAATTTCTAGTACTGACCTTACATGACTTTCGAATGGAAGCGGCAAACTCGTCTCTAAATTGACCGCCCTGCGTATCACATGGGTGAAGTAATTACTGCATTTGGGAGTATCCCGTACTTATGGCAAAATCAAACAGCTTTCAACAGAACCTGGTTTCTACCTTAACACCATCCTTTGAGCAATCCAAACTTCGGCCATTGCTTTGTTTTACGCCTGTCCACACTTAGTTAAGCAATTGAACGATTTTATTGAAACCTAGCACACTTTCCGCTCATTTTGGCGCTTTCAGCTGGCCACTGTCGTCTTCGAAGGTGGTCCGTCGCGCCTTCCACTTAGAAACGCATATAATTGGCATGTGCTAAATTTAGAGATCCCCTCACATGTCTCGTTCCTGCAAAAAAATTTTCGTCTACAAACTCACTCTGCCGTTCTTCTCGTGATCTGTTGTCAATTTTTCTCTTCACATGGATTGCTCATTTATGCTTCTATAGATATTCATAAGTATCACATAACGAAACACTTGCTTTACGTTCCGTATTTTCCAGAAAAGTTTCATTGAGCCCACAATGGTTTATTTCTTTACCGTGAGTGAATGCGGAAGTGCATAGTACGGCAAATACTTCACTAGGGTCTTTCAACCAGAGGACCAGTTCGATCTTTCCATCAGGAATTCAAATTAACACTGATACTATGCCAATGCGTAGCCCATTTGATTACTAATGGCCGCGTTATTGTCAAAAATGGAATAAATAACGAATTCCATAGCGACAGTGTATGGTCTTTGGAGCCCTTTTAAGAAGCGGGGCTCGTTAAGTAGTTTTAAACCATGAGGGGTGTCACTCGAGAATTTATCGCCAAATGCCTGCTTGAGTTTTTCGCTAATCAGAGAGAATATAGGTGGTACAGGTGGTATATGTGATCGATAGAGCGCTCTCAGGCTGATGAAAGCTTTCCACAAGCTCTGCCCACTTCTCATCTACATAGCAGTATTTTGGCAAATACGTTAACTCAAACAAGTTAGGGTGGAGATTTGGAGCTGTCGTTTTACTAACGAGCTGTCTTTGAGGTGTCCAAAACCTGGTTCGCGCTGTTCTCTTGCTCCTTTGCAATTTCTCCTTCGCGTTCTGTTCCATCTTTCATGGTTTCTGTGCTTAGGATGTGCTTTTCGTTAGTTAAGGAACATTGTACACCTCGATTTGTTTTCTACAGTAAGATAAGATGTTCAAAGAAAAAGTTTTATTCCTATTCATTCACAGCCCTAATTTCTTTCCGCATCCTTAAGGATTTCTCTTTAAGCTCCTTCAGCCTAGTCGTCGCTTGACCGCTATCTGTCGAAAAGATGACTACATCTTCAGTAAGGATAAATTTTAACAAAAACTAGGTTGGATAATTTCAATGAGCTTTTCCCACCGCGTTCGATACCTTTTTTAAGGTTCTCGTCGTTTTTCATGGCCGATCCTGAAAAGTGTTTTCATTGAATGTGTCCACCCTTCCACTAAGAGAGCTAAGAAAATGGTCATCCTTTCGATGTTGTCGAGCTTTTTATCTCGCTCAATAAATATCAGGACAGAGAAAGGATTGCCCAAACAAAGGATTAAATATTTGTTATGCAGCAAAGTGTAGAAGTAGGATATAGATACGGACTTTAAAGATTAAGTGATGATAAAGAAAACGATAAAGCTCTAGGCGTCGATCAATCCTTGAGGGATGCGCGATACATTCGATTGCATTAACTATTGCTGGAAATGATGGAGTGCATACCTGGCCTTTACAATGACTCGCGGTGGCCTACCGATGTATCGAACCAGGGCAGCTATCCTCCCAGACAGGTCTGGTACCAATTTGCCGATCCCGGAGGGATGGAAGGCTTGGTGAGCCATGGGCGCGGGGATCGATTCCACGTTTGTGTTACAGGGCACCTCCGACCACTGCGCCATGCGCGCCCTTAAGTGATGATAAATCCTCAAAATTCTGCTTGTTAAACTTTTCAGGCATCACCAAGAGTCGAAATGGTAGAAATTTTATCACGCATATGCAGAACGCAGTCAGAAATCAAATCGGGCAATGTTATCGAATTTTCATTTGTTCACGTTCCCTGAGCAGAATGCACCTTGCTAGAGTGCGGGTAACGCACCTTGTAGAAGTGCCATGCAGTACGCTTTGGTTTCACTCTCTGGACTAACAAAACTCCAACTCCTATTTAGTTAGTAAACTGGCACCAGTTTTGTCTGGAACAGCCTTTTGTTTTGTTCCCTTCGAACGACAAAGTGACAACTGGCTCAAGTGAAGACCTGGAAACGCTCTAGCAAGATTATCTCGGGCAGTAAATCATTCGCGATTAAAACGATGTTTTGTGAAATAGAGAGGGCACGAAAATCTTCGGATTTATACATGGAGTCAACCGGTTCTATTGAACTTTGATTTCTTTATGGATGTCTTTGAACAATGGTCGAATTGATTCTCTCTGGGACCCTGAGATAGCCGTGCTAGGGTGTCTGCCTCCACGGCTTCATTACAGATGATCGCCGCACTTTGTGATTCACAGAAAGCTTTGCCTATATAAGTTAATTTATCGGACTAGAAAGATAGGGGCATGGCTTGGCTCGGGTCTTGGTAAACTCACTGTCGAGATCATAAAACGGTGGAGCTTACAGTCCTCTTTTTCAATGTTCTTTTTACTTTTTCCCTTATCCTTCTTATCTTTCCCTGCTTCATCTTCTACCACTGTTTTCCTACTTTTTCTTATACAGTATTTAAGATCTAACCATTCCAGAGTATTCTTTATGTTAAATATCCACTGATTGTGTCGTTTTCTTGTTCAGCAATCGCGAGGTTTTTAAACAGCATACATTTACTTCCATAGAAAAACACAATACAATACAACGCAAGCTCACGTTTCGGCAGTATCGCCTTCTTCAGACCCGCTTTTTCGTGACTTCCAATGAGGAAGTTTAGAACAGCTGATTATAGTCGCATGTGGTTGACGACTGCACCATCCCACATCAAAAATTTTTGAGCTTGGAAAGGTCAAGTTGATAGGAAGGTGGAAGCTGAGAAGTATGAGGAAGGCAAAATCCGCTGAAACGTCAGCTTGTACGTAAATAAAGAAATAAAATAGCACCTCGTGTTTGCTAAACAAAAGTAGAAAGAATAATAATAGTAATAATAATAGTGAGATATTGAAAATTCTAGAAAGTTCTCTACTCACACAGTATGGGGAAGAGCGGGAGGAACACGTATAACGCAGTCTTTGAAGGTCTCCAGCAATGCAGACATGGGCGTTGGTTCGCACCGAAGTCTACCCAAATCCCCAAATCCCCCTCATCCACCCAGGGTGACAAAATTTTACCAAACAAGTTTAGGAGGATAATAAGCACTCGCTGAATAATCTATGGCTTCCGTAAACCATCGCATAGGGTGGATATGCATTCAATCACCTCTTCGATGCTTAATGGGGCCGGATGCATGACGCATCACAAAGGATTGATCAGTGCCAAACGCTTTGTTCTCTATTCTCTACGTTTTTCAGGGAGATAAAGAGTAAGAAGTTTACAGTATCTGGGTAGTTCTACATGGTTTCTTTTATGGAATTTATTCTATACAGGTCATTATGAATTCCTCTCTCTCGAATAGCTTAAACTCTTCAGAAATGAGTGTCTTCTTTGTATCTATAAATTTTTGATATCGTGATGCACCATCAAAACTTTCTTCCTACACTCTGAGGCCTTCTAATGTGAATCTTCTTGTCGATTTGCCCTCGTGACTTTCGTTCATCTAATTCAATATTCATAGAAGTGGTGTTGCACGGGACAGTTGTTCAGTCGTTGCAAATTCATTTTTCATAGAAATTAATAGTTTTCGTATTTTTTTCTCGTAATGTTCATCCATTGCAGTGTTTTAATCAATGGCTACCTTTTTTTCCTGTTTAGAAGCACACGCTCTATGTGATGAGAGAATGCCCGTCGCGAAACGCGGTCTCGTCGCCCCACAAAACACCTTCCTAGAGAACGTCATCCGACGATGCAACAATACAGGTATGACATTACTACTCTACCACATTAGAGTGGTCGGTTACTGAATCACTTACCAGTGGGTGAAGCTCATTGCACGGAAATGCTCTGAACGCCAATCATTGTCTGCCTCCTAAGACGAAGTATCAACTCGCCTCGGTGTTGATCAAGAAGTTATCGTATTGTGACACTTACTAGTTTATCTAGAACAGCTGTTAAGACCCATTAACTCGTTACTGCAGCTTTGAAACAATTTTTACGTCGTGGAAACATGGTTTTGGCATAAAGGTATTAACAGTTTATGCATAGGTTCCCTACATAAGGGTAACTCCTGGACTAAAGTTGTTAAAACTAAAGCCACTTAGTCTTTATTGAGTTACGTATTCTTTTTTCGAGCAGGACAGCTATCCATATTAACCGCATCTAGTGAACTCGTGGTCTGATTACCAGTAGTTTGAGTTTACTAGACTTTCTAAACCTTTTCAGAGATATTCATCCGGGTTTCGCTTACAGTATACTCTATAGTTTCAGTTTTCCAACTTTCCACACTTTTTTCTATATTAAATAAATCAGATGCCAGTTCAGTTTTAGTGAAAATAAAAAAAAGAGTAGGGAGGAAGTGAATGAATAACGAAGAGTAGTGAAACAACGGGGTTTAAAATGTGTAGTCTATTTAATCATCACACATAGTGTTTACTTAACAATTTCTAACAAGCGTCGCCCACTACATCCGATCTTCTATAAACGATGTTCTGCAATTCTGAAGAAATATCAACGCGTATGTGTAATGAATACTAATCGACTGATTTGCTTGGTTTAGGAAGTTACGGGTGGATCATATGGCTTACGAAAAAGTTAGTATCGTTATATTTAATGGACGTTGACAGCAACAAATTCGTTCGGAATCGATAACACAGTCAATTCCACAGTTCTTCTTCAGTGAAACTGAATAAGATCATGAAGCAGCGTCATAGTTTTAAATAAAGAATTTGTTCTGCATATGTTTAAGAAGGGGCGTGTGTGGCACAGTGGTCGGAGGCGCCCTGCAACACACCTGGAATCGATCCTCGCGCCTATGGCCCACCAAGCCTTCCATCCCTCTGGGGTCGGCAGATTGGTACCAAACTTGTCTGAGAGGATAGCAGCACTGGCTCGATACATCGGCAGGCCACTGCGAGTTATTGTATAGGCCAGATATGCATTCAACCACCTCAAAAGATGCTTAATGAAGGCGAATGCATCGCGTATCCCTCAGAGTTAGATCAACGCCGAGAGTTTTGAGCCTTTTTATAGATTTAAGGACCAATTTAAAAATTGGCCGCAATTCAGGATTTGGATAGAGATGCATTCAGGAATAATCAGCTCGGATATTAAATAAAGGGTTACTTCGATTACACCAAAAGTAAAGAGAGTTCCTGGATTTTTCCTTCGCTGAACCACATTATTTTTTTCAACAATAAAACTCGCTTTAATTCTGCTTCAGCGGCGAGTTTTTTCACGTGGTCATGCAGATGTGGCCGTAAATCAGTCGCCGGATGAAAGGATAGCTATGTTTTGTAGCAGACATCTGGAGTCCATTGACATTCTATTGAAAACGAAATAAAGAAAAACAGTTTTTTCTTCCAGACACGTCGTTCATTCTGGCCAACGCACAAGTTGTTGACTATCCGATCGTCTACTGCAATGACGGTTTCTCGAAACTTGTCGGCTATTCGCGAGCGGAAATTATGCAGAAACCGTGCTCGTAAGTTCGAACTCATCAGTCGACACCCGAAACTTAGAAGTTTTCACGTCTTCAAAACTGTATACTGAGTACTTAAGAATACGCGTCATGTCGAAATTCTTGTTCAGGGGTGCTTTCATAAAACCTAATTTTACCTCAATTTTCTTACCTGTTTTCCAGCTTATGGTAGCAATGATAATCTGACCTCGTTACTCTTACGACATTTCCTCAGAGGAAATCGTTTGGGCATTTGAACGTTTCTCACTTGATTTTCTTCTTTATGCTGAGGTGCAAGCAGTGCCACGCCGTTGCTAGTATTAGGTTGTTCAGAAACAAATGAGCGTTTTTAACTGTATTATTTAAAATGTCATAACTTGGTTCAAACAAAACTTCATTAACCAAGATAAAAACACTTGAATCCACATTTTTGCCAACGAGAGACAGGCTTACCTATCCCAGTTGCATGAAATTCTGGAAGCAATGAATTCGTTAAAGGCATTTTTTGCGTCATCATGGTTGGCGAAGCATTTTTCGCGCAGGAAGTTGTCAAGGTGTTTAATGAAGTGATAATCAGTAGGCAAGAGGTCTGTTGAATATGGAAGATGAGGTAAGATTTTGTGGCGCAATTCTTTCAACTTCGGCAGCGCTGCGTCCGCAATGGGCGTCGTCCTACAGAAGGGTTGTTCCTTTTCTATTGAATAATGTCGGTCGTTGTTGTTGAAGTTTATGATGCATTTCGTCAATTTTTTGGCTGTAACTCTCTGCCGTAATCGTTTCTCCCGGACTCAAAAACCTGTGATGAATCAGCCCGGAAACAGTCACCGTAACCATTTCTGGTGCAATTTCGGCTTTGGGAAGCGCTGCGGAGCCTGATCGTAATCCAACCATTGAGCTGAGCGTCGCTGGTTGTCCTAAGAATCCACTTCTTGTTGCATGTCGCAATTTGATCAGGAAAATTTTTGTTGGGCAGAATAAGAACAGACTACACTTCAAAGCGGCTATTTTTTTTTGGTTATCGTTTGATTCCTACGGCACCCACTGGTCGAGTTTTTTTGTGCCTGTTCTATCCCACTCAAGAGAGTGGAAATTGTTTCCGTGCTTGCACCAAGCTTTTCTGCAAGCTCTCGAACAGTTGTTCGCGTGTTTGCTTCCACTATGGCTTCAATTCGTCGTTATCGAGCTCATTGGGATGTTTGCAGTCCTCCTTATCTTCGAGGTCGAAATCACCATCGCACTGTGGATTCACCAGCACTACCTTAACCACAAACTTCTTTAATGTTCCGAGCCGTCTCTGCTGTACTACTACCGAGTTTGAACCCATGAAAGGAAACTTCGCGAGAATTCGTTTTTGTCATCTTAAATGGCGAAGCTTAAAATTGGTGAAAAAATTAACCTTCGACAAAATAGAAAAAGCACGAAATCAAGTTTCTATTGATGTATAATATTGCGAGGTAATTGGTAAAAAAAATATATTAAAACAACAAATGCTTTAAAACGCTCATTTACTCCTGAACAGTACTGACAGAAGCTGTCGTAGATAAGGCGAACTATCTTATAGAGCTAAGTTTCTTGGGGAATGGCACCAATTTTTGGTATTACTTTGCTCTCATCCTGGTTTCCGAGTTGGAAGGCTGTCAATGGATGAACAAGAAAAGTCGAAGGTGCAGTCCTATGCGCAAAGAAAGCAGATTTTTTTTCAAGTGTGGTAATTAATCTACTTTTATTTTTGATCGGAATCCTTTTATTTTTCCAAAACAATATTTCACGACTATTTTAAAAGTCCACTGCTTCTGTCATTTGTTTTGCATATCTGGGAAAAAACCTGCTCAGTGGTTTCCTGCCTCACCGTTTTTGTTGGGCAGGGAGTGGTGTCAAGTTTCGAATTGAAATGTATACCAATAGTTCGTCTTCTGAACAGGTAGACGTAAGCCGTGATATAGTTTGATATTTCAATCCACAAGCACAAATACGTGCATCTTTGCCTTATGGCAGAACCTTCTGAGCTACCACCGACAACTGTCTCTTCAAAAACACAAAGAAAAAATCCTCACAAAGGCGGGATACTCTTGGGGTCTTTGGCTAGTAAAACACAGTTAAGAAAAGCAGGATAATTTTAGCGTTCTTTGATTTGGGTACTGATGGGAAGATTCTATAATCATGCGTAGTTATGCCCCAATTTGAAAACATAACCTATATGTAATTCATCAGTACCGGCGTAAAATGTTTGAAACATAATCGAGGAAACATAGTCTTGATTGTCGCAAATAAGACTTTTCTTGAATACTAAACTTTTAGTGTTATGAACAGGAATGAGGGACTCTGCACAGTTAGTCATCCCTCTACGGTTGACAAGTTCGTACCAGATTCGTATGAGAGCAGCAGACTCGAAACATCGGTAGGCCATCGCGAGTCAATATATAGGCCACATAGGCATTCAACCACCTCTAACGATACTCTATTAAGTCTATGCATGGCGCATCCCCCAGGGATTGATCAACGCAGGGAGCCTTATTGTTCCTTTTTATCCGAACCAACGTTTATATGCAATCAGATGTTTATATCAATATATATTCACTTGCTTTTTAAGTAGATTACTGCAACAGGATAAAAATGCTAAAGAGGACAAGACGCAGACTCCTCTTCTTCATTCGAAACTCGCTTGCAAATAGAATGGAGCATTGAAATTAAGTTCGATGGAGGTCTTTTTGCTTCGTTTCCACACTCAGTGCTAGCACTGTGATAGTTGCATGGGTTTCTTCCTCGTCTATGTCCGGAAGTTTCTGCCTGTCACTGGCAAGGAATGCGAGTGGCATAACCGGTACAGATTTCAGTCTTAATTTGTACAGGGTAATTTTCTGCTGACTGATAATCGATGATCCTTGTTTTTAATAAATTATATTTCCTATCTTTATGAAGGAATGTGAATCCATCCATGTAGTGCCATTTCTGATCCCGCTAGTTAATATGTCTGATATGCGCACACGTAGACACACATACATACACAGATAGCCACGCGCTCTCTCTCTCTCTCACACAAACACACACACACACAAACACAAACGCAAACACACACACGTACAGACATACAGACAGGCAGCTACAAGGAAATAGTATTGTATGCATCATATTACATATAAATTATGTGAAAAGACAAATGTAAGGGATAAATGATGAAGCTCTCGGCGTTGATCAATCCTTGAGAGATGCGCCTTGCGTTCTCCTTCATTAAGCATCGTTGGAGATTATTGAATGCATATCTGGCCTTTACAATGACTCGCGGTGGTTTACCAATGTGTCTGCTATCCTCCCAGATAAGTCTGGTACTAATTTGCTGACTCCGGAAGGATAGAAGGCTTGGTGGGCCAAGGGCGCAGGAATCGATTCCATGTGTATTACAGGGCGCGACTCCGACTACAGACACATATACATAGTGTTACATGCAAATTGCATTTGGAGATAAACATTAATGTACACCAAGCACATCAACTTCCTGGTTCAATCTTAACTTTGCTAATAAGTATCTCGTGTGTTTTTTGCTCGTTTTCTGCTGAAGGTTCTGTCTTTCTTTTGCACAGGGCTTTGATGAAGTTTCGATGCTGTTCATAAATTTATATCAGATAATTAATGAAGGGAATTTACGCAGATCAAGTGTAGTTGCACAAATCTGGTGTAGATGAAATATTAAAAAAATGGTTTCTGCATTCATCATACCTATTAGGTTCGAAATTACAATGTTGCCAATGTAGAAGCGGCTTTATCGAATGATAGAAGTATTTCCAGATATTCTTATACTTAGGGCTAAATTAGGACGCGCGTAAGGCAGTGGTCAGAGTTGCCATAGTGAACGCACGTGGGTCATTGGTTTGATTCCACGCCACGGGTTCATGAAAATATCTTAGCATTATTGTAGTTATGTTTCACATAACACCCTGTCACGGGAAAAAATTTATAGGCAGTTAATAAAAACTTAAAGATCGGTGAAACAACCACGATGATGCTGAGATATTTGTAAGGTTCCGGACTGCCGGTGTCAGCGGTTGAGAACAAATGCGCTATTGCCCTTTCCGGCGATCAGTGCCATCAACAATCACCCGTCATCGAGGTTGATTTGTGGAGCCTAAATCCCCAATAAGCCCAGTTAAGCTTCGACTCTAGTCGAAATCACAATGTTAACTTCTTATTTACTGCCGATTACAATTTTACACGGCAGGGTATTATGTGTGATATAACCATAATGAGGCTAAGGTATTTGCAAAACTCCGGATAGCAGCTGTCTGCGGAGAGGAACGAACGTGCTATTACCCTTTCCGGGGCTAACGCGTTCACTACCACACCATGCGGGTCCTTCGTTTCGTCTGCCTTTAAGCTAGTTTTCTATCGATCGGTGAAATAGTTCAAAATTCCTGCAAACGGTGGCACTATTAAATAACGTTGTTTTCCTAACCTCTAGCAGAGAAACTTATTTTTCACAAAATTCGTAGTTCTCAACTCAAATGGAAAAATACTCAAAATTTCATATAAGTCTGTCTTGTTCTTTGCCTGCTGAAGGGTATCCTTCTCGTGCTCCTTTAATAGAATGTTAACTGGACAATTTAGCGGGAGTATGACTAATCAAACACTTCTTGCTTGGATATCGTTGTTTGAATCCTCAAATCCTTTCACTAATTCAGTACCTAAAACAACCACAACGTTGCTGAGATATTTGCAAAACTTTGGACCACAGGTGTTTAAGGTGGGAAACAAACGCGGTATTGTCCTTTCCGGGGAGTAACGCGTTCACCACCGCACCATGCGGGTCCTTCGTTTCACCTGTGTCTCAGCTAGTTCTATCGATTTCTGCCATCAGCAATCACCCGTCAGCGGGATTGATCGTCAGTACCCAATATTTTTTCAGGCTGGAGTTTCTTCACGGAGATCACGGAGACGCTTCGAACTTCGCTAGGATTCAGGAAGCGCTGGACAACGGCCGCATCGACCAGGCTGAAATTGCACTCTGCAAAAAGAACAGTTCGTATTTTAAAGAAATATTTAAATACTAGCAACGGATAGCACGGTAGTAATGTTCGTCATCATGAGCGTGGTTCTAGTTCGATTCTGCACCTGGCCAACCTAGCCTGTTATCCCTCCGGCGTCGGGAAATCGGCATCGGAGTTGTCTGGGAAAAAATCACTTTCTGTAATTCAACTAGGAATGCTATAGCCCTCCTATCCCAGGACTCCAAGGAGAATTGCTTGACCATCATTCTACGACATTAAAGATGAAATGCAAATTCTCAAGCAGCAACTAGAACCACATGTACCACAAGTTGGAAGATTTTCGTGGACAGTGGATGCGAGGAAAGGAATCGAATGTGAGAAATGCTGGGATCCGCACAGCAAACGTTAAGACGGATCATATAAAATAAAGAAAAGAAGTTAAGTGTTATGCGAAATCAACCACATTGATGCTGAGATATTTGCAAAACACCGGACCGCAGGTGTCTGCGGTGGAGAGCGAAGAAGCCACTACCCTTTTCGGGATTACGCGCTCAGCACCACACCATGCGGGTCCTTCGTTTCGCCCTGGACTCAGCCAGTTTTTTTATCTACCAGTGCCGTCAGCAATGACTAGTCAACGGGATTGATCTGGAGAGCCCATGTCGGCATTGAACCCATTTAAGCTGACTCTGCAGTCGAAATCACAATATTAACTTTTCTATTTGCTGCTTGCTAGAATTTTTAAATATTTTCCTTCTACAATTTAAACTTTTTAATTACTGCTTACTCTTTTTAAGGGCAGGGTATATATTGCGAAATATAACTTTAATGATGCTGAGATATTTGCAAAACTCCGGACCGCAGGTGTACGCGGTGGGGAACGAATGCGCTATTGTCCTTCCCGGAGAGTAACTCGTTCACCACTACACCATGCGGGTCATTCGTTTCGCCTGTCTCTCAGCTAGTTCTATCGATCACTGCCATCAGCAATGATCCGTCAGCGGGTTTGATCTGGGGAGCCCAAATCGGCAACGAACCCAGTCAAGCTGAGGCAGCATAATTAAAGTTATCTTTCTTTTTTATTTCAAAATCAACCTTCCCTTAACCTCGGTATGACTAACCAATACGTATTCTTTCTTCAATAACCTTACAAGAGGTTAATATATAATCTTTGTACGGCTAATGTTTCAACATCCTCGTCTTCATCATGGCCGATGATCCAGTGATGATTCTCTTTTAATTTCAATTGACGGATTTGATTTCGCAAAACTGATTTTTCGTGTTATTCAAGATTATCCATATCAATCAGTTCTCCACCAGTTAATAATCCGTATACTTTAGCTATCACCATTGAGATGTTCACAGCGTTTTGTTGGTTCAATCACTCAATGCGCTCTACTCTCTCGAAGGGCGCAGAGTCTGTTAGGGATTTTCATGAGCAGCCTGATCGCTACGGTTTTGATATTGTTGCGTATTTGAGATCCTGTTAATCACAGTCCCTGAAAGGCGCTGTGCTGTCCAACTATTGTGATTAGTCTGTTACTAATTCGGCAGCCACGTTTTTGGTCCTCGTTCATCGACATGTGATAATTTGGGGCTGTAGATTTCTTTCCTCACTCTCGCGAAATCTAGTACTTCTGGTTTACTTGTCTATTTTCTTCTTTATAGGGTCCTCTTCTCTGGGTTTTCAATGACGCTTGCTTCCTTCTTCATAGTTATGAATCCCGCCTATTGTGTGGTCTTCTCATTACAGATACATATAGTATAAGCATCTAGAGACGTTCTTTTGAGAATATAAAGAACAAAGCAAATCCGTTTTCCGTAGGCATTACTTTTGCCTTGTTCAACTCAACAGTGGTGATCCGAGCTAGTTGTCGTCACCTAATTCGAAATCTACCGTTGAAATCACTCAGCATTACTATTTATGCGGTCATATAAGAAGAGTGTTACCGTCCAAGAAGGCATGATTTAGCTGTTACCTATCGAACTGCTTTACTATATTATTCCGTGCCAGTTTTCTCACAGCGTTTATGAGAATGGCATTATTTATCTCTTTATTAATGAGATGAACCGTCATCACACGTTCTTTGGATACCAGCACTTCTTTCACTCGATTTCTTCATCGCGACCATCATTCCCCCACCATTAAGTCTTTAGACTTGTATGTTGGTTCGGCTCTTGCTTAGGATTTTAGCCGTCTTTTTGAGCGTCCTTAAAATGCTGATCGGAAAGATCCTCCCATAAATACTGTAATAGATCTGCTTGGCCGTCTGCCATCACAGGAATTTCCGAGCTTTTGTAGTATTGAGGAAACCTTTTCCAGTCAACGCTGCTAGAAATTTTCCGACTCTGAAGAGAAGGGTCGTTTGGTAAGTCCCGGTTCGAACTGATAGTATTACTCAGCGCATATTTTTGAAGGGCATTTCTACCACTGCGCTTCCGGCGATAGACACTGTAGAGTTACGATTGGTGAGATGATAAGATCTTCGATTCTTGTCAACTCAAGAGGAAGCGTTATAAGAGCTCGGAGCAAAATCCTTTATTGGCTTTTTCTGATCTCTTATGGAGTTTTGTTAGCTCGGCATGTACGGCTAACCACTTGCGCCTTCATCTGTTCCAGGAATTTCGATAATGAGGATATTAACAAATTCTGCAAAAAGAACGCAATAGTTCGATGCAGTAAAAAATTTTCTGACGTAAACCACATTTATCCTCTCATTGATAACCTTACACGATGCTGATAAAGAATTTTTATTCGGCTAGCGTCTCGACGTCTTCGTCTTCGTCAGAGTCGGTGATCCGAGTCGATAGTCGAGGGTTGTTCTTCGTCTCGAGACGCCTTCGCCTTCGTATCGAGCTGTCTCTTCCTCAAAGGACCATCTCTCGAATCCTTCAATACTCACTCGTTGATGCCCTTTTATACAGGATGCTGATAGCTGTTGAAACGAAACTAATAGGTTATAAAAAAGGACATTGCTAGGCGTAACCTTCGACCTTTTATCGTGTTCATTGCGTTGTAAATCATGAATCTAATGTAGAAATTTTCGAACGTTTTTCCTGTGGGTAAATCTGACCTTTGGGGTTGCTGGTGATATCGTTGTAAGTAGCTTTCTATGTCTATGAGTCCCACCAGGTTCATACGAAATCGGTCGAGTGTCATACTCACTGTAAATTGATGTTGTGGTGCAGACCATAAAGCCACAGACACTGTAAGCATTGGTCCACATGTTTTCAGATGTAAATATTCAACTTTGGTTCTCAATATGTCTATGAAGAAGTTCATGTTTAAAATGACACCATTTCTATCAGTTCTAAAACACAGATTTTACTCTGACTTCATGAGTGACGTTTGGCGAGCATTGTATTCTCGTAGTAATAAGTTCGACGACGTCATACCTGATTTTCTTAATCCGAATTTACACATCATCCATTCATTGCACATCTCGGTTCCCTCATGGTTGGCCATCAATATTGGCCGCTCCCTGCGCTTTTGTTAGAAATTGAATGGATCTTTTTAATTTTATTGTTTTTGGCTAAGGAGTACCCACTTATAGCATACCAATGTTTTCGGATCTTTGTATACTCACTGGTGGATGAACGTGTTCTGTCAAAGTAAATGCGGAGCTTATTTATCAGACACGACAGCATGTCTCGCCTTCTTCCCTGTCACTTTTCGTCGAATCGAACATAAAAGGTACTACATGTAGTCATCCAAGCAACGAATGCATGCATAAATATGTCAGTCTGACAAAGCGGAGAGATTGGATCCAATTCAAGTGAACCCATGGCTACCTTTACTGAGATTTCTCATGCTGTCCACCATAGGAAAAAAAACATAGCTAAAAGAAAGGAAAAGAAAGGACATCGCATGGTGTGGTGGATAGCACCTGAGCTCCCGCTAAGGGTAATAGTGGGTTCGAACCGCACATATGGTTCCGAGTTCTGCACACATCTCAGCATCCCTATTGTGGTACTTCCTGAAGTACTGGTAAATCGTATCTTGCCTTTAAAAACGAATAGGTAGCAAAAGAAAGTTAAGACTTTTACAATTCACTGCTTCTGTTAATGACAAACACGAGGTTGCTATTACAGCATTCATTAATGCAGAATAACTGGCGCTCCGGCGGTTTCGCCTTCTTGAGAGCCTCGAAAGGTCAAATTCACATGCAATACACTCAGGCAAGCACTTTCGTAACCTTAGCAGGCAAAACTTAGCACATAAATTTTTATTTACATAATAAACGACTTTCCTTAAACACCCACTGTTTTGTTCATTGTAAATCCTCTGGCGCTTCAGTGGAAACCAGCCGCACAAAGTACTACATGGACGAAGAATGTGCCTGGCCCGGGTTAACGAATCAGCCTGAGGTATGGCGCTAGGTCAAGCGTGATCACAACACACCTTTCCCTTCGATTCATATCTGGATTTCTAGAATTGATTCACAACGCTTCAGTAGTTTCACATGATGTTTTGGATTCCTACGCTAGGAGGTGGTCTAAACTATTCGGTAGCAGTGACTGAAATGCCACCGAGCAATCTTAAGAGTCAGCTAGTCATAATCGCTTGTATGACCATTCCTGCCTAACGCATAAAATGCCCTAACGGTCGCGATGGTGATTGCATGGGTTCGGATACAGTGTGGTTAAGCTCTTGTAAAGCGTGTGGCAAAGAATACGTTGTCGAGGCGGGTTCGTCTGTATAAAGGAGCACCTAGTCGATAAATTTAAAGTTAAATCACATTCTCCACTAGTCACGCATGGGACACCGAGACATAACGGCAAAAATCCCTATCCTCGCGCAGGAATGCAAAACATCAGCACGAAAAACTCTTGAAGCGTTTCGGATTACTTCCAAGAATCCGGAAATAAGCCCCAAGAAGGAGTTTCTTGTTTCCACACGCCACCTGGCGCCGTACTTCAGGTCGATTCTTTGATCTGGGTCAGGCATATTCCCTGCCTATATGTGAAGCTGTGCAGCTGGTCTTCACCAGATAGCTGGAACGCTTACAAAGAACAAAAGAATAAAACGGCGAGTGTTTAAAAGCAGCTGTTTATCGTTCGAATGCAAATTTATATGTTTAGTTTTGTGTGCCGAGTTTAAAAAGGCTTTTGGCTGAGTATCTCATGTCAATTTGGCTTTTTCATGCTTCGAAGAAGGTGAATGCGCTGACGCATCAACTGTTCTGTAGTAATAAATGCTGTAATAACAAGCTCTTGTTTGTTCATCAAGAAAAACAGTGAACTATTGATCAATGCCGAGGTTAAAGAAAGTCTGTCTTGAAATCTACTGTACACTTATACTTACTATTTAAGACTTTCATAGTTTTTCTAAAACAGTTTATTTCTTTCAGAGACACCAATTTGGCTGCTCGTACATCTGGCTCCAATAAAAAATGACAAGGACTCCATAGTGCTCTATCTATGCCAATTCAAAGATATTACGCCATTGAAGCAGCCATTGGATGACGAGAATAACAAGGGTGAGAATTAGAAATAACAAGTTAGTTTCCCTAAATCAGTTCCGAGTTTCTTCAAACAACGCTGAAAAAGGCGATGTTACTGCCAAAAAGCAAGAAGTGCAAAGTTCACAGCCTCTTGAAGACAATAGGAAAAAAAGTAGAAAAAAGTAGAAGAAGAAGAAGAAGAGAAGGTAGATAGGTGACCAATAGTCGGTACAAGGCTGAAAAATAACTGCACGTTTCTACTTCATCATAAGGAACGCTGAAAATGAGCGCTTAACATAGCAACGAATATCACGTTCGCTTCTTCCCATCCTCTCACCTATGGAGAGAGCTTCTTCTTTTCTTCATCTCCCTATGTCTGCACATTTGCACGTGATTATTGCCCTGGTTTACCACTTGTAGTTGTAGTTGTTTTTATTTAGGCGCAACTTCTGCATCCAAAACGGTTCCAGCCAGTAACATCGCTATGACATGTTAATATTTTTTTATTTTATATGACCCGTATTCACGTCTACTGTGCGGATCGCAGGACTTCGCACATTCGATTCATTTCCTCGCATCCATTATACACTAAAATGTTGGGTTTTACCTGTGGCTTCAACTGCTGCTCGAGGATTTCCATTTCATCCTGAATGTCGTAGTATGTTGATCCAGCAATTTTCTCTGGAGTCTTGAGATAGCCGGGCCGAAGCGCTGCCGACTGGACTGATTTTGAGTGGTTTTTTTCCAGACAAATCCGGTACCGATTTTTCGACCCCGGAGGGATGAGAGGCTATGTTGGCCCGGAGCGGAATCGAGCTAACATCATGTTCGTGTTGACCGGCATCACTACCTTTCTGTTATCCACCTCTTGACATGTTAATAACTGCTTTTAATTCTCTTCCTTTTTTCCTAATGTTTTTTTGAATAGCTATCTGACAAAAAAAAGAAGTGAATTTATGAATCGACTAGTCAGCGATGTCATGAAATATTCCTCATTTCCGTCGTAGAATTATAACTGGATATTGTCCAGGTGAGCTTCAGGCCACTAGAGATAAAATGCTCTTTGCATTTAAAAAAGCAGAGTTTCAGTGCAGAAAACAAGATATTTTCCATCAGAAGGATTAGTTTTTAATAAATATGTTAAGGTCTGTCGCGTATTCTACAAATCGCCCGAATCGCTAAATCTAAGCAGCAGTTCAATCAGATTGAGACCAAAGATCTTCACAAGGCCACCACATCTATTTCATCGAACTTCACCCAGGTAAGCCTCGTGAAAGAAATGCTGATTTTGAAACGTTAGCCCAACAAAAAAATATGTTCCTAACCGTTATACTTAGTTTCCTCTATTCCGTTGTGTGAGATCCATCTAGAAGCACTGTTGCATCTCACTTAACCCAGTGTTCCGAGTTCCACATCCCTCCACTGTACACCCCATTGTTGCACGAACTATACGTAAACACATCGGTGGGTAGAGATAGCATTTTAGATTAGTGAGCAACCCCGAGTATGCTTTACAAACTGAGTTTTGCCTGAAAATAGTATTTTCTGAACCTAATCTCACTTTTTTTAGTGTTACGAGGCCAACGGCCGAATAGTGAGTTTAGAGTTGTTCGTGTCTGAGGTGTCCATCTGGTCTTGTTCGGCACAGTCGGATGGTTTCCTCACAAAAGTTCTTAGTGTCCGCACCTATTTGTGCCACCCTTCTATCAGTTGTTATGATTCATTCACGATTTCTCAGTAGCGCATTGATCAATGTCCACGGTCTCTAATAATGGGATCTACACCTTTGTAGGCATTTGCCGCAAATGAGGTTATACGACAGTTAAGAACAAATCAATGTTTCCAACAAATGTTTTGAGCTGCCATCTGAGGCTTTGAGTGACGAATCATCTGAGCTGCTGACTAGAATGATAGTAGTGGTTAGAGTAGTGGTAATAACAATGAAGCAATACGAATAGGAACTCGAGATTTTCCATAGAGTTCTTCACACCTTTGTTTATTTTTATTACTGGTCCGAAAACCGTTTGCTTAGTCGCGTAAGCTCTTTATTGATTACTCAATAAGGTGAACTATTCAAAAATAAATTCGTGATTAAGAAAACTTTATGGAAGGAACGAGGAAGAATGTTTGACAGGACACTTGGTTGCTTTAAATTGTTTTCTTCTCGGTCATGGCAAGCTTCGCCGTTTTGAAAGTCAGGAACGGTTATAGTGAAGTGCATCTTATTCGATCAAACAATCACTTAGTATTAAAGTTTTGATAGTTTAGACTTGATACTTGAACGGGCCGTTTTCACTGGTTGTGCAGACTCTAACATAAGCTCCACTTTTCGAAGATTTGCTGGTTAAGTCATTGTGGTTTCCTGGAATCCCAAGGTCGGCTTTGCCAAAGTCTGCCCCAGGTCTTCACCACCACAGGCAGTCGCAGCCCTTGTGGATCAGGAGAAGATTCACCACTATTTGACTTTGATACCAGGATGGCGGTGGGTCCTGGTATTGGTTTGCTCTCAACTACGCTTCCTGATAAGCGCCGGGCTTTTTCTGATTGGTGATTCTGCCAGGTAGATGAATTCCCCGTTGTACACCGCAGTTCGACACCCAGGAGCACCTCCCAACCATGATGAGGCTGTAAACCGTTGGGAGGAATATTAAAGTTAAGCGCTAGAACTAGATTCTTATCTTATGCTTTATAACCTCGAATAGAATACACCCTAGCTCACTCCGACTTATTACAACCAATGCACAATGTTAACTAATGTTGGTTTAGAAAAAATCAAATCGAAGCAACAGCCGGAGATATGAAACGAACGAATGCATGATAGTGCAACCTCCACCACCTCTGTTATTTCTGAATGTTTCATACATTTTTATTTTGTTTTAAACGATTCGTCTTCACATCTACAATGCGGATGCCAGCATTTCTATTTTCGTTCCTTTCCTCGCGACCCTCTTCCTCGAAGATTTTTGAGCTTTTACTTGTGGTTCCGGCTACTGCTAGGAGATTTTCATTCTCGTTATGAATGTCGTTGAGTTCTTGTGGGCTGGATTCTCTCTAATGTCCTGGGACCTCTGGACCAGAGGGTTTCATTTAGATTGCAGAGAGTGATCTGTTTCCAGCTAAGCCTGGTGCCAATTTCCCGATCCCGGAGGGATGAGAAGCTTGGTACAAACGAGGTAAATTCGAAACAACGGTGCTCATAAAGAAGTGCATCGTTACGACTGACCTACTACGCTCCCGAAAATGCCATTATTACTCCACAATGCTTCAAGAGCATTACGAATTGGTACTTTATCGTTCTGTGCTATAATTTTAGTGCTATTTGAGAGTCTTCATCCTTCTGCTTCTTTATTTAATCTGTAGAACATAGGAAAGTCAAAAGTGATGGTGTAGTATCTTTTTCTCATGTAGGTTCTCTTCTACAGGAGCAGAATCCTACTGCTTCTGTTGATGACAGATTCTTCAACACATTCCATAAAAGGTCATGGTGCCTAAACTCGTACAACCTTCACCTTTGTTTACGGTATTAATCGACCGCTCGTCATCTTACGGTATTTCAACTGCCACCACCGTAATTTTCCTCCTTGGATGCGACCAGCCGATTTGCCTATTATTTTATTTGATCACTTCTGACACTTGGAGCTGTTCACTTACAGAGGTTATTTTCTAGGGCGAACAAATTAAATTGACGCACATGGCGTGTTGAATAAAGTGTTGTTTCACTTTGCTGTAAACTTGTGAGTTTTTTTGAAAGCTGCTGAGATTACAATCGCTACAGTACTCTTTTTCGAAGTTTCGTTTTTAAAGGAAAATATTCAATTTTCTTTTTAATTAAAAGTCTGCGTAGTTAGTTTGCCGATGTCTCAGTTTGTTTTACTATTTTAAACAATCCCAGTCAGCGTTTCAATAACTTCATTAGTGCAACACCTACTGTTTGCAGGCAAAGAATTCCGCTGATAATGTGGGATATGCTGGGTTTAGCTCAGAACTCCTAGATCTTTATAGGAGAATCCAAAATCTCGCATGATTACCTATCAGTTTAGCGCGCGACATAATAGAGCACAAAATGTGCGTATTGATTAAGTCGCAGGCATTCTCAGTGGATAATAAGCGTGCAACTTTGCGAGTGTTCTCCTTTGTGGTCATTGATTAATGTCGTTCGAGTGCACCGTTTCGTAGTAATAGTGTTTCCATTTCTTCACTATCCACTCCACACACCAAACATCCGCACAGCTGCACAAAGTGCATCACACGTTTTTTCAACATTATCGTATTCTGCACTGATTTTGAATATTTGCCTCAATGGCGATCTATGCTCCTTAGACAATGGAAATCTATGGAACTTTTTTTCGGAACTATTTTGTGTCTTACTGGGGTTTAGGTGATGAACCTTGGTGGTGATATGCTGCCGCAATATCGTCAGGAAACACCGAAGACCTCACCACACATCATACTGCATTATTCGACGTTCAAAACTATCTGGGATTGGTCGATTTTGGCGTTAACGTTTTATACAGCGTTTATGGTTCCATTCAATATTGCCTTCAAAAACAGGTACAGTTTCTAGTACTTTTCTATGATAAGAACATTGAGGGCTGTGAATATAGAGGATCAAATGTTCGGCGTTGATCAATCCCTAGGAGATGCACTGTACAATCACCCGCATTATGATTCGTAAAAGTGACTGGATGCAGGTTTCTTCTAAACAAAAAATTCTAGTGCTCTACTAATGTTTTGAATCAGTGTTTCTATCCTCCCAGATGAGTTTGCTGGCACTTTACCTCTCTAGGAGAAACACCAGAAAGGTGTACTGCAGTGGTTATTGGTGCCCTGCAATAGAAGAGCAGTCTTTGGTTCGCGCCTAATTCCAGTTCAGCAAGCCCTTTATCCATCCAAAGTCGGCCAATTTGTACCAGATTTCTCTAAGAGGATATCAATTTCCTATGCAGGGTAAGTATTTATTCAATCACCTCTATCCGAATTCACGGCACATCCTAACGGGCCGATCAGCGCCGAGTGTTTTATCCTTCATTCTTTATGGCTTATACACCTACTTTTGCCATAATAAAAGGAATACAAGTCTTCTATAGAATAGAAATAGGAAACGAAAGCCATAATAGAAGAAAATAGAAGCCATAATAGAAGAAATCGAAGTTTTCAATGAGTGGGTCTGCGCTGTTGGCGATGTTCGTTTTACTAAACCGTAACTGTAAACAAAATCTCTGCTTGAAACAGCTGGACAGTCCTTAAAATGACCGTAACGTTTGATCACAACTGGTAGGAATTTACCCTATAGACATAGTGGTCGCATGCTTTCACTTAAATGCAATCAACTGCTATTAGAAGCTTATAAGGCCTCTATTGCGCAGTGGATACTTGAAACGATGGTTCAGCTGTATTACCTGCCACCTGTAGTCCCGTTGCTCCTCGACTCGAGCGAGCGTCAGTAAATCTTCCATTTTTCCCTGTCGCGTGCAAGAGTAGCCCAGTGAGTTCTGCTCGCTCTGGGGACTCTTCGAGCATCATATCTTCCTTCAAGGCTCTTTGTGAAAAAACCTGACTATCGGGTCGGTGGTCTTCCTGCAGTACGTTTGACATCCCGAGGAATCCAGTCGCTAGCGGCTCTTGTCCATCGCTTGTCATTCATACGCATTACGTGTCCGGCCCACCTTATCTTCGACTGTTTGGCGTACAGCACGGCATCTTTGAATTTTGATCAGTGACGCAAGTCGGAGCTTCGGATTCCATCTCTTATTTGTATGAAACGGGATACTCCTAGCATCGTCCTTTCGACTGCGCGTTCAATAACGCTAAGCGATCTTTCATCCAGCTTAGGCAGTGACCAGGTTTCTGACGCATACATTGACGCAGGAGGTACAGTTGAGTCGAAAAGGTGATCACGGAGTCGGGTGTTCTTTATTCTTTTCACTACATCCTCGATGCTCTTGAAAGCTTCCCAAGCCACTCGTTTTATTCTGCTCAACTCTCTAGCTAGGTCGTTCATCATATTGATTTCCCGACCTAAATAGATATAACTGGAGCATTCGGAGATATTCTTTCCGTTGAGCGTGAATGAGGCATGCGAAACCAATCCGTTCTTCATAAACATATAAAGTTTAATTTTTGAGTAATAAAATCATTGACTAATAAATGACCGATGACTAATCACTGTTTTTTCATTTTCAAGTACTATGATCTCGTCTGGGTTAAGGAAATTGGTACTGGAGTTGTCATCTCGCTTTCACTAGTTCACAAGAGCTGGGGACTGCCTTTGATAAAGGCTTGGTCTGAAAACATCCTAACCCGCTAACCAAGGATGCTATAGAGAATTGAGTCGACAAATATTCAACAACTTTCATGAAGACCAATAATTCTCAAGCAGCAGTCAAATTTACTCGTAAATCTGAAGGCCTGTGTGGAAAATGGTTCTGAGGGAACGAATCGAAAGCACGAAGTGCAAGACATAATATTTAACGTCTGATCATGCAAAAAAATATTTTAATGGGTCACATTATCGTGAGAAATGGAATGAAAAGAATAGACATGAGGTCACGTTATACATGACAGACAAAGTTACCATTTGTAAGCGACAAGGTTTCTTGGTAATGGGCTACTGTATTGTAAACAGTAGGGGCAGAAAGCACAGTAGTTGTGATGTCCGTCGTCAAAAGCATTCTGCTAGTTCGATTCCGCTTCGGGCCATCCAAGCCTCTCATCTCTGGATCGAGAAATTGGTACCGGATTTGTCTGGGAAAAAAACACTCGCTGCAATTGGCATCTGAGGTGAAATCAAATCCCACAAGCAGCAACCAAAGCCACACGAAAAGTTGGAAGGATGGACATCTTCGTGGACAACGGATGCGAGGAAACGAATCGAATGTGGAAAGTGCTGGGATCCGCACAGTAGACGTAAGGAAGGACAGGTCATACAAAATGAAACAAGATAAAATAAAAATTGTAAACGGTAACATGTACACTCTGCACCGACAAAGTAAAGCTTCTATCACTTTATCGTGTTCTTAACCACTCAGTTCATCCAAAAAGTTACTGTCTGCTATTGAAAAAACTCGCATTATTCATTGTACCTTTTATTTCAATAGGTGGCCGAGTTTTCCAAGTCTCCAGCCAGATAATAGAAAAGTGGCCAATGATGCCACATGGGATTCCTTTTTATCAGGTTACTGGTGTATTAATTTATGTATAATTTATAATTAATTTTTTTTAATATTTATTATCATTAATTTTTAATTTATCAAAATACTATTTCGTTACTATTATTATCAATATTATCATTATTACTATTGTTATTGTTGTTGTTATTTTTATTACATGATCAATCGTTATATCTCTTGTAGCGGATCCCAGTACTTTCCAAATTCGATTAGTTTCCTCGAATCCGTTATTTACGAAGGTTTTCCAACTTTTTACGTGTGACGTCGGCTGCTGCTTGAGCACCCTTCCTTCATCTTTAATGCTGCTCAATGATGGTTGCGTCGATTCTTCCTAGAGTCTTGGGATAACCGGGCAAGAACGTTCCCACTTGGATTGCAGAGAGTGACTTTTCTGGACATCGTACAAATTTTTCAATGCGCTCCGAGCGCTTAAAAATTTTTTTCCTAGTCGTGACAGTACTAACACTATATTGCGCGTTATGAATCTCTGCTGATATCCGTTGTGAAGAACAAGAATAAATTGCGATGGACAAAAACACTGGTTGTTTATTCTTCACGACGATTTCATCTTCGAATTACAGTAATTTATGGCTCTAGCCTCTGTACAGCGCGAAAGGACTGAAACGCTACAGAACAAAGTTCTTTTTACGAACCTTCTGTTAGCTTATCACTGAAAAATTGATGGTGATCAGTCATCCGGAGGTTAGAAGGAGTTTTCTTTTTAAGGCGAAATGGTCTATATTTTTAGCCTTAAACCATTTCTCATGCAACCGTTCAGGTAAATTTGTTCTTACCTCTGTTGCTTTTGTTTAGTTCGATATCTTCTCTTCCTGGATTCTTCCTTTCCATGTTTTCTATGTTGACATCCCTTCGATATTTTGCTTAGAGAATACGCTTTACATTCCAATGATTGTTGCTCAGTGCATGAAATGTCAGCTGTCATTTAACACTTAGAGTTTCACTTGAGTTCCTTTCCACTCACATGTGGAATTCTGCTGATCGATTGAGCGCTGATTTATGCTAGCCGATTTTATACCCTGGTATGTGTTTTGCCGCACACTTTTTGAAAAAAAATGTTTTGAATTCAGTCGATAGTTTTTTAACTGGGACTAGTTCAGGAGACGTTGGACCAGAAAAGCTACCTTCTAAGTTTGAATATTATAGAAGAAGAAAGGTGCGCGTGTGGCGCAGTGGTCGGAGGCACTCTACAACACATGCATGGAATCGATCCCCGCGCCCATGGCCGACCAAGCCTTCCAACCCTCCGGACTCGGCAAATTGGTACCAGACTTGTCTGGGAGGAGAACAGCACTGGCCCGATACATCGGTAGGCCACCGCGAGTCATTGTAAAGACCAGATATGCATTTAATCACCTCCAAGCGATGCTTAATGAAGTTGAATGCATAACGCATCCTTGAGGGACTGACCAAAGCCGAGAGCTTTTAGAGCTTCTTATAGAAAAACTGTTTCCGTACGAGTTTGCTCGACGAACTACGTAGTCTGTTGCTGGTGAGAAGCCTACAAAAGTGGCTATCACAGAGCAGAACTTTACCACTCTCTCTGTATTGCTCTGACATAATTTCGTTATTGTATTGACAGTGTTAAGCAAAAACTCTTCCTAAAGAGGGCAGTATACATGAGCAGTATACACGACTCATGTTAATGTAGATTGGGCCGCATGAGGTGAATGGAATTCAAAACATGTGAAGCAACAATCGGGCGATGTACTCCAAGTGTTAAGTGAAAGCTGGCGATTTTTGAGTTGCTAAGCCGCTTTTGAAGTTCGTCTACAAATGCGGGAGTTTTAAAGGAAAAAGAAATACTCCTACTTCCGTACTCTGCACATATTTCCTGGTAATAAACGAAGATACGTTCAGCAAGGCATGGTTGTTCGCTGTTGTGTCGCAGGAGCGATCGATTTACTTATAGTTTTCATTAAGGGAATATCCGGGTGGTGGCATTGACTCTGTTGCATTAATGGATTCGATTGTCGATGTCATATTTTTTGCTGATATTTTGTTAAATTTTCACACTACATTTGTTGGTCCGGGTGGTGAGGTACGTCTGCTAATTTTCCTCTTAGGATTTTCAGGAATAAAGTCACTCTTCTCATTTTTTGTTAGAAAATCGAAAGGGCTCACAACATGGGTGAAAAAATTATTGGATAACTTTTATTTTGCCTATCTCGACCAAAGAATTACTATTCTGAGAACTATAACTTCAATGATACTGAAATATTTGCAAAACTCCGGACCGCAGGTTTCTGCGGTGTATAACAAACGCACTCCTGTCCTTTTCGGGGAGTAACGCGTTCACCACCACACCATGCGGGTCCTTCGTTTCGCCTGTCTCTCAGCTAGTTCTATCGATCTTTTGCCATCAATAATCACCGTTAGCGGGATTGATTTGGGGTGTCCAAATCGGCAACGAACCCAGTCAAGCTGAGGCCGTAGTTATAATCACAATTATTTTGCAAATATCTCAGCAACATTGAAGTCATATTTCGCAATATATACGCTGCCATTAAAAAGAGTAGGCAGTAAATAATAAGTTACAATATTCTGAGAACGTTTTGATATATGCGAAAAGAAGAGGGCCAGTCTAAGCTGTACGATATTCCTTGCCTATCGTTCTAGGCGGTCATAGTTATTTGCGAAATGTATTTTATTACAGCGGGTGTAAAATTCGATTTGACTTGGGAAAACTTTTAGCCTAAACATTTTTTATCCTCTTTATTCAAAAATTTCTTATCTGTCGAATATCTCCAGTTGGCAAGACATTTGCTGCTTAAATTTACTGCGATATTCACCGATTTCTGTTTTTCGGTGAGTACCGGCAGTAGCAATTTGGCTGCAAACCTCTTCTCGTTCAGGTTGTGATAGACCCATCGATAATTCGACAAAACTATTTCAAATCTTGGTTTTTAATCGATCTCTTATCATGCTTGCCTTACGATATATTTTATATGTTCAAAAGAGATGACGAGGTGAGCTTTTTTTTTTTGCTAGCTTTCTTCATTAGGCTTTGATTTAGTTGCTATATTACATCCGTAATATGAGGTATTACTGAAGATGAGAGAGTTACGAATTTTCCGTTTATAGAGGAAAGTTTTTTGTGCAAACGCGCTAATAAATGTCTATGACGACTTGGAATGTTCAGTCCAGAAGTTAGCACTATCAAATGCGCCGTTACTGTCTCACTTGATGAGGTACCACAGTGAGCTCATATAGTGCTTGCACTCTATCCTATAGTGTTTCTATACTCAGTTAATTAAGCTCAGTAACAGTTTCTAAGGTGTGTGTAACGCAGTGGTTGCAGATCTCCTACAATGCTCACGTAGTCATTGGGTCAACCTCGCGTATCAGGCCCACCACTCCTTTATCCCCCTGGGCTCAGCTACTCGGTTCCAAACCTATCTGGGAGTGCAAAAACACAGACGTTGTGCATCGATGAGTTACTTAGAGTTGTTCTACGAGCTAGGTATGCGTAAGTAATATTAAGACGTTTGATGAGGTCAAATGCATGGCGCATCTCTCAGGGACTGATCAAAACGCTTTACCATCCTTTCTTTATCCTTTAACCATTTATCTTGGGGAAGTCAGCTAGTGAAAGATGTTATTCATCAGGTAAGGTAATAAAATGGGCACTAGATTCTTGTGTCATCCTTACGGTTTCTCTTGACTATTTGACAAGCCAAGTAGTCTTGCGATTGACTGGTACGTCACCCCTAACACCATGGAGATTCTTGCAAAGCAAGCGGATAACTTATTAAATAACTAGAAAGATTATACATCGTCTTCACCCAAAAAATCCGTTACAAAAGAAAAAACTCCATCCAACACATAAATTTTTTACCGAGTTTCTTTGTGTTCCGCGTTGTATTCCTTTACTTGTTTGCCCATCGTGAGGTCTTGTTTGTTAGTGATGCAGGGATGTTTAGAAAGAGAATATGAAATTAGCTTTCCAAAACTCTGCAAAGGTTGGAAGAAGAAATTTATGTTTAACCTATCCGTTAGTTTTAACATATCTATTCAGAGGATCGGTAGCCTATTCTCAGCGCTGAAGGTGGTTCGATTGTTACGACTAGGTCGAGTAGCTCGGAAGCTAGATAACTATCTGGAGTACGGAGCCGCTACTCTTCTGCTTCTCTTGTGTGCCTACGTCCTGGTGGCGCACTGGCTAGCTTGCATATGGTTCAGCGTTGGTGAATACGAAGTTCGCATCAAGGTAATATGGTTCGAAACAGTGCAGAAAAGGCGCACTTTAATTAAAAATTGATTCTGGGTACCCATTCTCATTAGGTAACCATGCAAATTTGGTCATGGTTAGTTATCGCTATCGTAGGTAGAAAAAGTGCCAGAATGTTCTTCCTTTCAGGAAATGTAGATGAAATTTCGATTCTAGGTGGACAACCCATTATTTCCTGATGGCTGGTTGTTTCGACTGGCTAATGACCTCAAGTCCCCGTACAACATCAATCTGTCAAATCGAACTCGACTAGTTGGCGGACCTTCAAGGACGAGTTCCTATATCTCGTGCAAGTTCTTATTGTGTTTACATAAGAATTTTCGTTTCTTAAAAGTGGATATATAGTTTTGTATAACAAATTTTTGCTTCCTGTGAGTTTCAATTGTCTATACTTCCTTCATACATACATTATTCTTTAAATGAAGCGTTAATGTCTTAATCGGAAATTTATCGAAGACCTATTAGGACCTTAACTTTCTATTTAACTACAATTTTTTACGACAGAGTATTATGTGGAATACAACCACACTGATGCCGAGATATATGCAAAGTTCCGGTCCACAGCTGTCAGCGGTGGGGATCAAACACGTTATTATCTTTCTTGGGGTCAAACGCATTCACCATCACATCAGGCGGGTGCTTCGTTTCGCCTTTCTCGCACCCGTCTGTATAGGTGCTACCACCCATAACCAGCTAGTGACATTGATCTGGGGAACCAAATCGGCATTGAACCCAGTTAAGCTGAAGCTGTACTGTAAGTCACAATGTAATCAATTTTGAAATAACTGGGATTAATGCCAGCTCTTGCTCTGCGGGTAAATCCCGATGAGTGAGGTGAATGATAGTTGATAGCACCTATAAAAACACGGCTGAAAAAAGACGAGACCAAGGACCCGTATGGTAAAGTAAGAACGTGTTACCTCCCGGGAAAGATAATGGCATATTTGAGCCCCGCAGCAGATATCGGCTGTCCGCACTTTTGCAAATATTTCAGCATCATTATGGTTATGAGGAATATCTCCTCTCTCCTTAAGGATACTCTATTTCAGCGAAAAGATAATATTCAAAAAAATCAACAACTTGGGCCAATTACAAATCTGAATTTATGGTCAAATAAAAATTTGAATACATGCTTAAGACATCTTCGCGAAGTTACATTGACTCTCTTGTACAATTGTTCTGGGTTCGGATTGAGACGCCAACATTATTGCTTTTAGCCCACTATAAATTTTCCTAAAAAAATTTTTTAAAAGGGTTAAATTTCACTACTGTTCTCGTTTTTTTTTCTCTTGGCATCGGGATATACTTTTTGCTACCCATATTTTCACTTCACATCTGTTTGTTCTGCTTTCAGTCTTGTCGATTTCAGCGCTTTATTTCACGATGAGCTGTATGTCAACAGTCGGCTTCGGAAATATTGCCAGCACAACCGACAACGAGAAGGTCGGTTTTCTAATGTCTTGGTTTTGTTGGAGACCTAATTCAACGTATCGTACGTTTATGAACACGTATATCATTTTTAAAGGTCAATTATTCACATCTGTTACTTGTAGATGGTTCTAATTCTGTCGCAGCAGCATGTTTCCTTTACTTTTTGGTTTTACGGTGAAATTTAAGGTGTTTGGAGTCTGCATGATGATCATCTCCGCTCTGCTGTATGCGGCTATATTTGGTCATATGACGACGATCATTCAACAAATGACATCTGCAACAGTAAGGTGAGTTCGACGGTTATCCTCATTATCCAGGCAGATGGGAAAGTCTTCACTAGTCGGGCTAAACTGAAACACCGGATTTCTACTATTAATGTTTGTTAAATGAGCCTTATCGAGGGACAAGCGAATGCAAAAGGCCCATGTAGTGCAGTGATTAGGGATGGCTTGCAATATACAGGTGGTCCTCGGTTTGATTACGCGCTATCGGGTCAGCGAGCACTCCATCCCTTCGAAGTAACAAAATTTGTACCCGATTTGCTTAGTAGGGTAGCAGCACTCTCTTAATAATTGGTGCGCCACCGAAAGTTATTTTATAGACCAAATGTGCATTCAACCATTTTCAATTATGATTGATGAAGTTGAATGCATGGTGCATCTTTGAGGGATTAATTAAGCCCAATCCCTTAATCATTTATCGTGTGCTTAGTGATTGAGAGTACACTTCCTGGCTTCCGCATGTAGGACTAATGAGCAAAATTCGAAAATTTTTCTTCTTTCAACATCGTATACCCAATTAAATGCGATTCATGCGGTTTTTAACCGAAAATTGGAGCGATTTTTTCTCCTGGAAGTTTTTTTTATGTTATTTATAGAGAAGGGAAGTGGTGGTTTCTTTTCTTGTCTTTTTTTTAGTCTCTACCATAGTCGGTGCACAGTGCGCGCTTGAAGAAAGCCCTGTTCTGTTCTAGGTATCACGATATGATCAGTAATGTTCGGGAGTTCATCAAGTTGCAGGAGGTGCCAAAGGAATTGGCTGAACGTGTGATGGACTACGTAGTGTCGACTTGGGCAATGACGAAAGGCATTGACACTCAGAAGGTGTGTTATGTGTGGATAGTGAGCTTAGCGTCGACTATTTGTAAGGGTTCTCGTCGCAACAGAAAGGCAAGAAATTGAATATTGAGTGCAGATAGCAGACATCACCTTTATAGTTTTCTCGAACATTTTAATAATTTTGTTGGTTTTCTTGAAACTTGTTTCAATCATTTGTTTATTACTAAGTATAGCATTACTAAACAAAATATAAGGATTATATGTAAGCTAAGTGGGACTGGACTGTAGCTTATAACTATATTTTTCTGTTTTTTTACTTTATATGAGCCGTCTTCACGTCTACTGTACAGATCCCAACACTTCGACTCTTTTATTTACTGCCTTCTTCTCCTTAATGGCAGGGTATGTTGCGAAATATAACTCGTATGAAATGCTGAGATATTTGCAAAACTCCGGACCACAGGTGTATGCAGTGGGGAACGAACACGCGCTGCTGTCCTTACCGGGGAGCAGCGCACTTCACCACTACACCATCCGGATCCTCGCATCCATTATTCACGAAGATCTTTCAAGTTTACGTGTAGCTTAGGTTGCTGCTTGAGGATTTTAATTTAATCCTGAATGTCGTAGAATGCCGATTAGGCAATTCTACCTGGAGTCCTGAGATAGCCTGGCTGGAGCGTTTCCAATTGTATTGCAAAGAGTGACTTTTTCTCAGACATGTCCGGTAATTTTCTTACGCCTGACTGATGAGATGTTTGGTTGGCCAGGAGCAGAATCGTACTACCACAATGCTCGAAATAACGGACACCACTACCACTGTGCTATCCAGCCCTTATCACTATATATTATCATATTTTATTATAGCTCTTTATCTCAGCATAGTGCTTGGAATAGTAGTGAAAAACGTTTTCAAACTCGTTCACTCTGGTGGAGGTTATGATTGTAAGTGTTGGGATTACTGTCAGAGTCTTCAACTATTTTCAAAGTTCTGGTAAAGCAAATGGCAACGACATGGGGGAACGAGAGTTGAAATTTTTTCTCCCTGTCAGTTATAAGAAACGCCAAACGAGGTGTAGGATAAATTAACCTAAAAACTAAACGGTAGTAGAAATTCATTGTAGGTTCTCGGTTATTGTCCGAAGGATATGAAAGCCGACATTTGCGTGCACCTGAATCGAAAAGTCTTCAATGAACATTCCTGTTTTCGTCTTGCCTCCGATGGATGCCTTCGTTCCCTCGCAATGTTTCTTGAGGTTTGGTTTAATTTTTCCAGTAGTTCAAAAAACGTTGTCAAATTTAACTAAATGGTATGAGCTGACAGACTTTTCTATATAGCGAAAAACACTGATAAAAAAAATAAAGTCTGTAGAGTACGAAGACACTTGGACAAGCAAGTGGTAGAAGTGGTCCTCTCATATTTAGCTGCAAACCGAAATTGTTTTATTTTCTAGAGAAAGTTTTAAAAAAAAAAGATATTTTTGCGTCATCGGTGCCACGTCCCGATGATTTCTATTATATGGATTAAGCAGTTGTTTTATATTCACAAATAGTTTTAAGTTGGAAATAAGTAAAGAAGTTAACTTGTAGCCCTATTTCTAGTCTAATCATGCCGCTCCTGGCGATCTTCTCTACCATACCGGAGAGTCGGTCGACGCGCTGTGGTTCGTCGTCAGTGGATCATTGGAAGTGATACAAGACGAGGAAGTTGTAGCGATTTTAGGTATGGAAACTGATTTATAACGTGAAATGGAGTTCTTGTTTGAGATGAAATGTTTCGTTATGCTGAGAATTTTATTCTATGTTCTAACTTTTATGTTCTGCTTAATTTTTTTTTCCATGACGAAGTATTGTGTAAATGACAACCACAAGGGTGCTGAGACATGAGGGAAACTCGAAACCTTAACTTGGGTTTGAACTCTCGTCTGCCTTTGCAGAAGACTCAGATTCCATCCACCACACTAAAGGAGGTCATTTCTTTGCCTTTGTTTCGGCCATATCTTTACTTTATCAGTGAAATCAGTACTCATTTGTCAATAGAAATAGTCAATGAAGTATATGTCGGCAACCAACCCAGCTAAGCTAAAGCTGCAGTCGAAATTACATTTTACTATTTATTTACTGTGTATTATTTTTCTATGACGCGGTCTGACGTGAAATTCAACTATCGGAATGTTCAGATAAGAGCAAAAGTAGTAAAAACATGGCTTAGAGCAAGGCAAAGCGCGAGTCTCGGTTGATGTGGCACGTAAGTCCCCAGTAAGGGTAATGGCAGGTTCAAAGCCCAACTGAGGTTGCGAGTTTTGCTCACACCTCAGCATTCTAGTGGTTGTATTTCTTCTATGCGTTAATCTACACATCTAGGAAAGGGAGACGTATTTGGAGACGAATTTTGGAGGAACAATGGTTCAACAGGCCAGTCAGCTGCCAATGTTCGAGCGCTCACTTACACCGATCTGCATGTGATCAAAAAGGATAGGCTTATGGAGGTATTCCATTGAATAATGTTCTTATAAACGTGTTTTAGAATATGTGAACATAACCTGCTATTCTTTTTTTCGTTATTGAATGTATGACTAAAATAGTTCGTTTTCAGGTTTTGAATTTCTACAAGGCATTCGCAAATTCATTTGCCAGGAATTTGGTGCTTACGTACAACCTGACGCATCGCTTGAAATTTCGGAAGGTGTGTTCGTTAGTATAAGAAAAACCTTAGGATTTTCTGGAAGAATCACATATTTATACTATCTCCCACGTCCGACTTTCAATTATCCTCGGAATTGATTGAATAATTCTTCTACTTTTGTTCAGCAAACACGAGGTGTTACTTTATTTCTTTATTTACGTACAAGCTGACGTTTCCCCGGAGTTCGCCTTACTCAGAGAATGGAAAGGTCAAGTTGACAGCAGTTTATTCGGCCAAACATAACGGGGAGGACTTTGAAGTACGTGTCACGATCCTCGCACAAGAATCGAGAACACAAGCGCGCAAAACTCTTGAGGTTTTCTGGATTAATTCCAGAAATTCGAAAACGAACCGTAGGGTAGGATGCCTCATTAACGCGCGTGATATTGGACAGTATATAAACCTGTTATTCTGATGGGAGGGGCACATTACGCTTCCATGTGAATTCTGTGCGGTTGGTTTTCACGCAACACACTCAGTGGGAGCCTCATGGAAAGCGGTGAGTGTGTAGAGCTGTGTTCAGTGTGATTGAAATCTTGGTTTAGCGTTTTCTTTGTTTAGTAATGGAGGTGTTTGATCGAATAGATTGCTGTCAACTTGACTTTCCCAGGCTCTGAGGAAGGCGACATCTGTCGAAACGTCAGCTTGTACGTAAATAAAGAAATAAAATACCTCGTGTTTACTGAACAGAAGTAGAAAAAATTATTCACATATTTATGTATATAAGCTCGATATACACTGTTCAAAACATTCTTTTTTTGTATTCATTAGAAATATCCTGCTGCATCTTTTTGCTCTTGGTTCCAATCCTTTGCTTATTAAGATCCTAATCGCTAAATGAGCTTAGGAATTTCAAAATCAACTGGGTTTCTCTCTGTCAATTGCTTTCTGGAATGTAAAACTATACTTTACTCAGTAACTGAGATGTAGGGTAAGTGAGGCTCAGTGGTTAGAGGCGCCATGCAACACACACATGGGGTCGATCCCGGCGCCCGTGGCTCACCAAGCCTTCCATCTCTACGAGGTCGGCAGCTTGATACCAGACTTGTCTGGGAGGATAGCAGTCAACAGCTAGAGCATTATTCTTTATTATTAACTGAGACGTATAAAACCTGTGTTCGCCACTAATTATTCTATTGGCTTTCCAGAAACATAGTTTCTGCTGAAGGATTATTAAGGAATATGTGAACTAACTGTAGAAGAACAGGATATTGATTTTATATGAGTGATTTTTGAACTGGGAAATAATACGTGTTTTATTTCACGATGTAGTGTGTCATTTGACTTTTGAAAACACAAAATTGAGTGAAATGGAGATGGAATTTAGAGCTAAACAAACAGCGGTGGACATAAACGTAAACTAGACAGAGAGAGAAAAGCAATTTTACTGAATTTCACCTGCAGTCCGGAGTTTTGCAAATATCTTAGCATCATTGTGGTTTACTGATTGTTTTCGAACAGTATCTTGTTCAAGGTGGTAGATGTCAAGCGTGAAAAGGAATTGAACGCGAGACGGAAGAACGAGAAGATCACGTTACCACCCGATCATCCTGTTCGAAAGCTGCTCTTCCGTATGAGAGAGCGGCATGGACCCAGGATATTTCCCAGCCCAATGTTCGCTGATATTGAAAAGGTAAAGCCTTTCTTTCTTTTTAGACGTTCCCACACCTATCCAAAATTTCAGAAACTTGCCGAACGTAAATCTTCTGGTTAAATTCTAACACTTTTCTAGATCCTATACGTTTTTCTGATTTTTTATTGTTTATTATTTTTCACTATTTTATTTTATTATTTTTCGTTCAAAGACGCATGACAGATCTGGCTCACTTGGTTTTCGTTACTTGGGAAGGCTCATCTAGGATATATGGCCATTAAGATGGAACGGAGCATTAGACTTACGCTTATCGTCGGATTCCCTACAACCACTAACGATGAGGAGTAGCTCTTCATTTTCCTCACTTTTATATCGAGCTTTCAACATGTGTATTCTGGAAGCATCGTAATAGAGGTGAAACAATAGGCACGGATGGTGTTCTTCTCTGTCCTGTTCACTACATACGCTCTCGTTTGTTGCTCTAATCGGCTGTTTCTCCTTGCTCAGCTTTGGAGATGGGCCACTAGCAGAATGGCTGCTCTAGCCAGAAAATTCCGAGATGCGCTTTCCTTTGGAAATCAGAAACGAATGCGCTCCTTACGAACAACATTTTTTTGAGACCCGGCTGAAGATCAATCCTTCCACATGTATTGTCGAAATTGACTAGCTTCCTTTCTGCCTTGCTAGTTTATATCATAAGAACGATCTCGTCACCAAACAGAACGTGGTATAGTTGGCTGTGATCGACTTATACCAATACTAGGATCCACCATCGTCCTGGTATCAAAGTCGCATGGTGGTAAATCTCCTTCTGATCCACAAGGGCTGCGACTGCATGTCGTGGTGAAGACCTGGGGCAGACTTTGGCCAGGTTGACCTCGGGACTCCAGGAAACCATGAGACCTAACCAGCAAATCTCCGAAAAATGGAAATTGTGCTGGGCCCCGCACAACCGGTGAGGACGGATCATCCAAGTATTCAAGTTTTCAAGATCGACTTACACTTCCATATTCTCCATTTCTAGTTTTTGTAGCCATTTTCTAACGTGGTTATAAATTATTTTACTCGCATGATTGTTGAAGGATTTCGGACTTCTGATTGACTTTTGAGCTTTCTTATTGTGTGGACGTGATCCAACGTCTAAGCTATTTGGTTGCTCGACTGGCTTTGCCTTGTCTAACGTTCTATCGATCCTATTGGGGATAATTCGAGCAAAACGATTCCAGACGACAGATAAATGGAAGTTTTCGGTGATAATCAATCTTTGAGGGGAACGACCGTTTAAGAGTACAATTGGGTATTGGTGGATGAAATCCCACTTTTTAAACAACTCCTCTCTTCGAAAATGGAAGGAGCATCGACAAAAAAAGTGGAAAGAGAAGATTCATGAACTTTATAGCTGTAAATTTTGTCTTAATGTACTAAATACATATACGTCTTGACCATTAAAGAGTGCAGACTCTAAATATTTTTATTGTAGTGGGCAGAAAATAAAAGGGTAAAACATTGTGATTTCAACTACAGCCTCAGCTTAACTGGGTTCAATGCTGATGTGGGCTCCTCAGATCAATCCCGTTGACGGGTGATTGCTGATGGCAAAAGATAGATAGAACTAGCTGAGAGACACGCGAAACGAAGGACCCGTATGGTGTGGTGGTGAACGTGTTACTCCCCGGAAAGGACAATAGCGCGTTCGTTCCCCACCATAGACACCAGAATTTTGCAAATATCTCAGCAACGTTGTGGTTGTAAATATTTTTATTTAGACTCGTAAAGCTTCTTACGAGCGAAGATATGTCTGTTTTATTACCAAAAAACCAATTGGCTTGGCCTAGATATGCAATGGCTATCGCGGCGCTTGTGTCAATTTAGGGATTGAAAAAACAGAACGTGGATATGGATCGAATCTCATCGGTGCATTCAATGGTGGATGAGACGTCGAATCTGCTCGCATCCAGCCATTGGTCGCGATCACCACGAAATGGACAGAAAAACAAACGAGCGCCATTGCTTGTCGGTGACCCTGAGATATTACACACCTTCAGCATCCATTTGTCGAAGACGTTTCCATTGCAGAAGCGGCAAACAGTTGATGACGATGCGCTCTCGAGAACCAGTTGGGGAGCGGGCAATGGCGAACAGAAACAGAAAGAACGAGTACGTTTGTTTGTTCTTGTTTCATTTGTTCTGTCATGTAGTCAGCCTCATGGATCTTCTTCATGCCAAAGATTTTGAGCATAATATTAGGAGCAAAATAGTGGGTTAAGAGCGGACCAAAATCGACCATGCCTTTGCCATGAGAGACTAAGGTGTACTTAAGGGCCAACAGTTCTTTGGTCTTCCGGTTTGACTTATATCTTTCATTTACACGTAATTATATCCATGTGCGAGTTCGGAGATACCTTGCTATATGCTAATTCGCTTTTCCACCTCTGCAAAGTACGGAATCTAATGGTTAGAAAGCGAACAGGAAGAAGTGCGGAATCGTTTCCAGCCCATCAGCGACTCATCTACTACAGAAGAGCACGAAGCTGTCTGTGAGACTACTTGGTTCCTTTGTGAATAACTGGGAAGGTAGTTATCAACATTCTTTCTTGACAACTAAGTTAGCGCAAATCTGATGAAAACAAAGGATAAAGCTCTCAGTGTCTATCAATCCTGAAGGATGCGCCATGCATTCGACTTCATTAAGCATCGCTGGAGGTGATTGAATGCATTCCCGACCTATTCAGTGATTCGCGATGGTTTGCCGATGTATCGAGCCAGTGCTGCTATTCTCCCAAATAAGTCTGGTACTAGTTTGGCGACCCTGCAGGGAGGGAGGGCCTGGTGGGCGTGGGGCGCATGAATTGATCCTTAGTGTATTGCACGGCTCCTCCGATCACTGCGCTACACGCGTGATACAAATACGATGCTCATCATAAAACTAAAAATGGTAGCAATTCATCACTTTTTTCGTGCCCACTGTTGCAGTGGCTTCCGTTTCTTTTAAGGAATAGAGAGCTCCATATTCTTCATTTGTAATCGTGAAGAAGTCTAATTGTTGGTTCGATGATTATTCTCTTGCATATTTGGCATCACATTGAACGCAGTCATTATGCCTTTTGTTTTTTGGTTATGCATAGAACACAAGGGTTTTTCTTGTATTCGTTATTTTTCCGAATACACATCTATACGATTGTCGCCTTCAATGATCCATTTGATCACAGTAACACTATTAGCAGCCAGGTTTCGTGACGTGCATTAAGTCGTGATACATAGCAGCGAAGTTATGGAGATAGAAATGGATCCTAATGCTCCTTTTCTTCTTCATTGTCTATTCTACACTCGTACACCCCTATTGCTCATATCGTCACAGTGCTTGCGAAAAGCTTGAAGTAAAGGTCATGAATAACCAACTACGCTTCCGTTCTAAATGCGTTCACTGCTCCGTATTGAAGCCTTGGTTTAAATGGACTTTATGTGCCGAGGACATTTTTCTCAACCTCTTACCGTTTCCTTAGGGATTGCAACTTTCTTCCCTGAAAAATTTTACCTTGTTCAAGTAGCAGCCGAACTCCCGTGAAAATAAATCCGAGACAATCGTGGATGCAAGATGCAACGAGCAAAATGGAAAAAGGAATCAACACGAAATATTAGGAAAGATCATACGGCTAGTTAAGAAATAGTTAAGGTGATAAGTAAAACGAGTAGATCGCATTCGTCGACGTTTCCAATAAGGGCATGCTCCAAAAATGTCGATTTTTACCAAGAAAGAATCTTGCCCAAAAAGAACTGGTCTGTTCTTTTAATAACTCGAAAGACCGACCTCCTATAAACCTCGGCATAGATAGTTGATATATTTATTTATGTGACCTTATAAACTGATCTTCTTAAGCTGACGCGAGGTTGGTACAGATCTTCGTTGTCGCTGTCGTTGTTTTTGATGCTATTGATCGACGGTTGACGTTTCGGCGACTTCTCCTTCCTCAGAGCCGTAATGTTACGTGCGGATCTGATCCTTTGTTTCTGTGAAGCTTTAGGACGGGAGCGCTATCGAGTAGTCAGAACGTGGTTATGAAACCGTCATTCTCGTACTTTTACTCTTTTGCGAGAGGTTTACACATCCAACATCAATACATGATTATCCTGAACTATGAGTCATCAAAACATTTATTCTTATTCTTCATAGTTAACTTGGAGAACCTCTCATTCCTTAACGTTCCTGGGAATTTCAGTAAGTAGTAGTGTCGAGAGTTCTAAATCGAATAGAAGTGCAATTTACGAATAGAATTGTGAGACTTATAAAGCATGCATCGATCTTTTCTTCATTGTATTCATTGTATTAAGACCTAGGCGACAGCACTTGTCGGAGTTAGTGTTGATCCACATGTTTCCAATGACAAGCGTCTGATTTTGGTTATTCGTGATGTTTTGCGTGCATAACGAAGCTTTTAACCGGTGAACACACCAACTCTGATGACACTTCTTTCCACTGCGGTGTGTTTCCAGCAGCAGCTCCGTGAATGACGTTTAACGAACATTTCATCCCGTCTCCGTCTATCCTAAGATGCCTTTCTAACCTTCATATCATATTTTTCATCGCCATGCTTTCAGTCAAAACCTTCGATAAAATCTTGCCTGCGTTCCTGGAATAAATCGTCACCATTTTGCCTCTAGATTTCTACAACCTAATACAACCAACCCTATGTCGCAGCACCCGGTTCTCTTCGCAATCTATTTGGTTTTCTTCCGGATATAACGGAATGTAGAGCCCGCGTGGCGCAGTGGTTGGAGGCGCTCTGCAACACACACGTGGAATCGTTCCCCACGCCCAGGGCTCACGAAGCCTTCCATCCTCCGGGGTCGGCAAGCTGGTACCAAACTTGTCAGGGAGGAACGCAGCACTGGTTCGATACATCAGTAGGTTACCACGAGTCATTGCAAAAGCCACATATGCATTCAATCACCTCCAAACGATGCTTAATGATGTCCAATGCATGGCGCATCCTTCAAGGATTCATTAACCCCGAAAGCTTTACCCTTTATTATTTTTACAACAGAATTTATCTACAGATCTCAATGGTAGCTTCCAGTAGGTGGGTGGGAGTGCTATGTAAAATAGAATTACAACAATTACAAACGTACAGCTTACGCATACTTGCGCAAGAATATATATGAATTATAGTAGTAAATCCGACGCATCCTAGAACAATACCTTCATTTCCTGAATCCTTCTCGTTCTCAGGGCGAGTACGTTGGGCTTTTTTCAAAAGAAATTGGTTTTACAGATGAGAAGAACGAGGACGATAGTATTAAGCTCCAAAACTGTAAAATAAAATCCAGCCTACACAGAGTTTATTAACTATAGAAAACAAAAAAACAATGACGTATTCTTCACTGAGCTCATCAGGATCGAAGATTTTTTCTTCGACCTTTAGAGGATTTCTCGCCGTTAACCATATGCATACTATAGAAATATTTTTGCCCTATTAACTTGATCGAGCAATTTAAACGAGCTTTTAAGAATCCCGCATTCGTTCCTGCGTATGAAGAAAATTATGACAAAATTATTTAATAGTATTACTTACTCAGTTGCTTTGAAGACCGTCTTCACTGGTTGAGTGGCCCACAGCTTAATTTCCATTTTTTCAACGTTTTGCTGGTTTACCACTATGCTCTCTGGAGTTCCGAGATCAGCTAGGCCAAAGTCTGGCCCAGGTCGTTGGCACCACAGGCAGTCGCCGCTCTTGTCGATCAGATTGAAATTTGCTATCATATTTAGTTAGCTTGCTACCTAGTTTGACACCAGCACGGTGGTAGATCCTTATATTGGTTTACTCACACAATGAAGCTTCCTGATGGAAACGCCGGACTCCTTCTGTACTTAGCAAGTTCTGCTGGGGAATGGATCCTCCGCTGTAGATGTATATGTTCGCAGTCCGACACCCGCGAGCACCTTCAATCTACGACGAGGCGGTAAACCGTTTGGGAGGAATACTACTTTTGGCTAAGATCAAATACTAACAGTCAGGAAGGAAAAAATAGTTTAGGATACGCGGTATCTTGTGGAAGCACTAACCTTGTACCTTGTAGTCAAAATGATAGATCTAAACAAGGACGTCAGCCTAAATTAGTCGTGAAGTTCAGAAAGTTTTAAATTTCTTGGATACTTCCTTACTTTAGGAAACCCGATATCAGGCTTTTGGACACCTCATTAGCATTTATCATTTTCATGCCTTCTCCAAGCGTTGTAACATGGAGTACTAACGGGAGAATTATAAGAGCACCGTTTAATTTTTCGTTTTTATTTTAACAAGCCTTACTGTTTCCACGGTTTCTTTTATTAAGCACGAAACGTCGTTGACTAACATCCGATCTGAGATGAGGTCGAAATTCGACTTGATTAACGACAAACTTAGCGTGGTCGAACAAATCAACTCACGACTGCAGACTCTTGAGCGGCTCATTCTTCAATTGAGGAACAGCCCTGGAGGTGCGCTCAAATTTGTTTTTTTCCTAATTGAAAAAATTCTGCAGATTTATCTAGGTGGATAAAAATAAATTTGATACATCTGCAGTCCTCCGAAAGTCACTGCATAGGCTAAATATCCATTTAATCTTCTTTACTACACTTAATGGCTTTGAATTTGTCGTGCATCTCTAAGGAAGTAACCAGCGCCAAATATTTAGCTTCTTATCTTTTAGCACTTAGCTTTTTAAACTGAAACTGCAGAGTGTTGAAAAAGGTCGAAAGTTATCGTTTCCTTGACGAGCGTACTCGAACTTGTTAACACAATATTCTTTTTACACTAGCTAGCCTTTTGGGCGTTTCGGCTTTCTTAAGTCCTGGGAAGATTGAATTGATGCTTCTTCTAGTAATACTAGCAATCTAGTGAGTTAAATGTTCCCTTAATCTCAGCAAAAAAGACCCAAAACCTAATTTTTAATCGCATGGGAAACATTTTTTATTATCTTTCACGGCTATCTTTTGCATAAGCTTTCCATTAATCGTTGGAGGGCCAGCAGCACAGAGAAAGTCACCCTAAGGTACAGCGCGAGGTCACGCGTGATCACTCCTTCTTGCGGTTCATTGTTGGATTTTAAAATTTGTCGTAAACGCTTCAAAAGTTTTGCGTGCAGATGTTTTAGAGTGTTGTGCGTAGATGGTAAATTCTTTTTCGAAATTTTCTCTGATATGTCTCTTAAGTCTCTGTGTCTTATGTCTGCCTAATTTAGTACTTTTTTGATGTAATGTTGCCCATCTAGGTGTTATTTTATGCGGACGCAGAATGGATCTTTCATTTTCGTCCACGTATTTTTTATGGCACACTTCACAAGCTTTTCTGCTAAGGTTATGAAACTATTGCGCTGAGTCGATTGCGTATTAGTTCCAGTTTTCTAGCGTCTGAAATGAGGGAAACCGCCGAAACTTCAAAAAGTTTTGAATGAATCTTGCTATTAATAACCTTGTTTCTGTTCATCAAAAAACCATGGCCTTTTACTTTTAACCTTTTACTTTACCTTACCTTATTTAACTTTACCTTATCTAACTTTAACCTTTAAAACCTTTTACTGACAAGTGACGAGGTCAGTAAAAGTTCGGTCCTATCACAAGGGTCCAAAGTTTTCAAATTCCTCGAAAAAAAAGGAATTAAATGCACTGTTTTCAAATGGCTTTTCACTAAAGCGAGCATATACTGCTATTTTTTCTTCATGCTTACTCAAATTCAGGTCATACGCCGTCAACGCTGCCTGCAAGCTCTTTTATGGTGCTGAACGAACCTGGCGGCTCACAGCTAGAAGTCTCGGATACATTTGCCCGTAGTGCCTCATGGAATCAGGACAACTGGCGGTAGGTTCAATGAGCACCAATCTTCAATTCTTTCTCAAAAAGAAAAAAAGAATAGTATGAAATAAGTCTTTAGACAAAATCTGTTAACGAATTTTTTCTTGACAAGTTTTTGCAATGTAAACGTTTTAGTGCTTATTAAGTGGAATTATGCAATCTGCTTGCAGGCCTGTACCACCACTGGAAGAGTTAAAGAATGTTGAGTGGAACAGCGAAGACAGTCCTTCTGGAGTGCCTTCCATTCAAATTGATGACGACACGAATAGAGCGTTTCATCGACCACCCGATCGCCGACGCATCTAACATTACAACAATGTACTAAAAAGAATTCTAGTGTCGTCTATGAGAGTGGAAGAATCAATAGGACCATCGTGTAAGTGATGAGAATAGACGGATCTTCGCTGCTCTCGTCGTCGCCATGTACTGTGCTGAGGATTGCTGTACTGCCGCATGGACCTGACTCAGTCATTATGATCCGTGTCATTTTCTTACGACATCAGGTGTATTTGCGTTTTTGTACGCGTTACCAGTAAACATCACTTACGCTAGGACTCGTCAATTTCGATATTGTACACGCGAATCAGCGCTCAATTGCTCATCCTGTATTTTCGTAACTCTTTTAGTGTTTTGAACCGGGAAATTCCAGTTTCTAGCATACTCGTATAGTGATCACGATGTATCCTGCTTCTAACAAGTATTGAGGCTCGAAAATAGTTCGTAATAAGTTGGTGATTCTTCGTTATAGGCAATACACATTTGAACTACGTATTTTCGAACGGAGAATTCCCATTTTGAAAATAGTTTTTTGCCAGAGCCGTGGAAATTTCCATGTTAGACCACTCTCGAGTGGGTTGTCTCACGAAAGCATCGAATTCTTTTGTTGAGAGCTACCCAGCTGCATAGGATCTTGTTTTGAGTTAGAGCCACGGACGTGCATTGAACCTAGCTGGGTAACCTAACCAAGGCACTTTCTTTATCCATGCAAACGCGGTTCAAATAAATGATAAACTAGGATATGAATGAATTGAGATTCACTGCTTACCAAACATCTTTCACATCTGCGCAATATTTCTTATTTAGCAAGATCTGTAGAGTAAATAGTACTTTTGAAATTGGGTTTAACATTGTCCTCTATTTTTCATAGCCCTTGAAAAACTGTGAAATATTCGACTGTTGGAGCTTCGATTTTGGATCGGAGTCGAACTTCTACTGCTATATGAGATATGTTTCCGTGTGAAACGAACGCCATTTTGCGACATATCGATCAATTTCGATATTATTCATGTGATTTTCTCCGAATGTGCATTTTCACTGGATTGTCTGGTTTCGGATTTGCTCGTCAGTTCAGCTACATTTCAATAACGTTTCACTTATACTTGCTTGTTGTTGATAAATGCGCCAAGGATATATAAAACTTCACCAATACTTAATTTCGTTAATTTTGTTTTTCTGAAAAAAAAAAACAGTTCAACCACAATGATACTGAGATATTTGCAAATCTCCAGACCGCAGGTGACTCTGATGGGGAACGAACGTGCTATTACACTTTCCGGGGGACTAACGCGTTCACCACCACACCATGCGGGTCCTTCGTTTCGCCTGTCTCTCAGCTAGTTCTATCGATCTCTTGCCATCAGTAATCACCCGTCAACGAGATTGGATTGAGCTGAGTAGTCCAAATCGGCATTGAACCCAGTTAAGCTGAGGCTATAGTTGAAATCACATTGCTAACTTTTAATTCGCTACCTACCATAAATGCGAGGTCACCGTATTCCCGCTTATTGCAGGTTATTGACTGATTTACATCTCAACTGCTTAAGCAATAATGTATTTACCTGAGAAGACAAGCTTAGTCACTTGATGTTCAACTTGTACGTGGGATTGGCTCACATGGTTTGTATTTACAAGTGCAAGGCAATAAAGCTAGGAAATGTCACACAACGAAAGTTATGTGCTCTTTATATCCTTTGATGAGTCCTACCCAATTTCACTTAGGAGCATGAAAGAGGCGAATGAAAACGTTGCTAGTTTCCACTATACCTAGTTATTACAAGTTAGTCCATTATGTTGCATTATATCTCGGACAGGTCTTTCAACACGAGGTACATCCTCCTCCCATCTAAACTTCTCGCTGTTTGTCGTCATCAAAAACAAAAATGGGTGAAAGACTCATAGAAAAGGTGTGCTTTGGAAGAAGCTGATTCTACTGTGTTTGAAATCCAAGTTTCTAGTTTTGCTGCGATTTAGGATTTTTCTGATTAGTAGGTTGCATATCAGCTTCACCTTTGCAGGCTCTAAAGAAGATCAAATGCACCGAAAGGTCATCTATCGTGAAATAAATGAAGTGAGAATCTCTTATCTACCCTGAAAGGAGTAAATCAACTTCTGCGCGAAGAAACGATGACGAGATGATGCTAAATCGAAAACCATCTGCTACTTCAAGACCTTTCAGTTTTTAACATATCCTTTTAAATGAAATTGAGAACGGGTACAAAATATTAAGACCAAAGTGCCGAAAGCGGCACATTCAACGCCGTCACTTTCCTATTAAAAAGTAGCAACGATGTTTCATCTTATACTTAATTATTAAAGCAAATATGTTATAATCCATTGGTGATCTTATACCGGCCAGTTAAAAGTTTAAGGTTAGGCCCATCATCAGCTGTTTAGATGAGCTCGTGGATAGAATAACGACGCTTATAAGATTATTGGATTATTATAAGACTAAGATAAGACTTATACGACTAGCACTCATTCAGTTGCTGAAACAGATCTCATCCCATATCACAAATAACCAAATGTTCCTGGATCAACTTCGCAAGGCGTGTATTAGCAGTGCCTAGACGATGGGTTCCTTAGGCATTTCGACCCTTTAAACCAACGCGTCGATTTACTCGGCAATCCGACCCACTAGTGACCTCGTTTTAGAACACGAAGGAGCAATAAAAATTTATAGATTGACGATTGAGCAGCTCTTGGCTTTCTTAAAAGGCCTCTGCTGCTCAACTTTTAGGTGATCCAGGAGCGATTTCGCACGAATGAGAAGGTTTGCAATGGCGCGGTGACTGGCACAAAAATGTGTTTTTGTCTTGTTGTCTAAGGTGGAAGTGCCAATAATCAATCATTCACCACAGCTTCGCTGTAGGTATATAGATAGTTGTTTTTTCGTCTGCTCCACCGAAGAGAAGATGCATAAATGCTTTAAGCCATCGAACGTGCAGTCAGAGTACGTTAAGTTCACTAGAAAAAATCGAAAGAAAACTTCATTCCATATGCGAACATTCAATTTAATGTATCCGAAAAGGCTGCATCACGTAATGATATTGAAAGGAAGTTGCAAAAACATACTGATTCATTACCACTTCTCTATCCTCCCACACACAAATGGAACTTGGCGAAACAAATGCTTCGAACAGCCCTGAATGTGCACAGGAGGAGAGCAGGACGAACCTCTGAATATGGGGCAACGAACAGCCATTTCTGATGACAACGAAACTATGGCTTGTCGGAATAGATTTGGAAAAGAAAACGACACCAGCAAACAACATGCTTAGAGAGAATGAGATCCTTCTTATTCTGCCCTTCGTTTCCAACAAAATAAATGGAACCGTAAAACTTTGCTTAAGAAATGTCGCTCTAGAGAATTCGGTAACAGTGAATGAAATGCCATTGAACACTCTAAAACGACATCTATTCTGTGACCGCT